TTGTTTTATTTTCAAGGCTCAAGGCCTTTTTTTATTTTACTAGCTTTTGGCTTCTTCTCGATTGTGCATGCGGAGTTCAGCTTCGCTTTTGAGTATAAACATGACATGTGATTCCCACGTTTTTTTTAAAAGATTTTTTAAAGTCCTGATCTACAATTGTTCCAATCTGTAACATTATCTGTTTAAACAAGGTCTTTTGGACGAAAATGCATACACTTTTTATTTTAGGAGGATGTGTTTTTCCAGATAATGAGGACATTATGGTGTAATGAAGGGTGACGTTACACCACCATGTCCTCATTATCTGAAAAGAAACATGCTCTTAAAATAAAAAGTGTATGTATTTTCGTCCAAAAAACTTTGTCAAAAAGAGTGGTTTAATTTTATGTGGCAAACTTTGTAGCAAAATTGTTTGTTAAAGAAAACCGTTAAATCGATGATTGAAAAAATGCAGCAGATAATACGATGTAATTTATCATTCATACATTCTTACATATACAGATACATACATACATACATACACATTTAGGTTCAGCTGATTCCAGATTTGATCCCATACGAAAAGCATACCAGATGAACATTTGAGCGGATTGAAATATCGCTTATTCCACAGATTCCATATAAACACTAGCAGTGTGCAGATTCTGTGGCAATGAACTTTGTAACCAGTGCACCCCAAAAACAGCAAGTTTTTTTGCACAAACAATTTACATTTTTGAGACAGCGCGTACCTTACAAAAACTTGGAAATCAGATCTAAGACCCATGTATGTTCCAGGTCTGAATTTGGCCTTGAGCAGGTCTGCATTTGTGACAAAATCCATACCTGCCTAAATTCTGTTTCAGACATGTCCTTGCCGAAATGAAACTCAGCTCAGATCTGATTTTCAATTTTGCAAGGTACGAGAACTGTTTCAATTGGAGGTTGGGCGAGGAAGTAGTTTAGGTTTCGACCAAAAACCCAAGGCAGGCGTCTTATGTGTCCCAAGGCCAGCAATCTTTGCAATCTTTGACAAATCTTGAAGATTTTTTGAAAAATCTTGAAGAAAAATCTTTGAAAACTTGGTAAGATTGTGTCAAGACTCCTGAAAATTTGTAAAGATCTTTAGAAAAACAAGCAGTGCGAAGAATCTTGAAGACTTTTCAAAGATTTTTTTGAAATCCAGGGTTGCGAGCGTTTCAGAAACAAGTTCTTAAAGATGTAAAAATTTATGAATCCTGAATTTTGAGCTTGTATGAATCAAGAATTATGAGCTTGAATTACGAGATTGTTCATCCGATACGCAATCTGGTCACTTAAGCTTATAGATGCACGGGTATAACTTTCCGACACACGGGTGTAATTCGCTCATTAGACCAAAGGAGCCTAACCATTCGATTAGATGGACCTAAAATCAAACTTAATTCAGTTGACCTCTGCAATATTTTCATTTAATGAAATGAGTACTTTTTCAGTTTCAACCCAACGGCGCAGCACGCCTTCTATATTTATTATTAAAACATCATCCAAATGCACCTGAACCATCCATCACGTCGATCCTCAATTCGTTCCTCATTGCGCCCAATAAATCCAGACATTAATCGTTATCGACCGCCCTGTAAAACCTAATCTAAACAGGTTTCGTTTGTTTGCTCGACGCCTACCAACTAGAGACCCGGGTTGACCAAAAATGCTTGTCATACAGTTTCCATATATGGAAAAATGCTAGTCATACACTTTCCGTACAATTCCATACGTACAGAAAGTTGCATGAAAGGTCTATGACTAGTATTTTTTCATATATGGAAGTTGTATGACTAGAATTTTTCTTGAGGAAGCAAAAATAAAAAAAAATCGAAATTTTCAGTTGTAGCAGCCCAAAAAACGCTTAAATATTTTTCCAGCAGTTGAACGGATTGTTCAAAGCTTTTTTTACACCAAAAAAAAACTTGAAAAAAAATGCTAATCATACAATTTCTATATATGGAAATTGTATAATTAGCATTTTTTTCATACCATTTTTTTCCTTTTTATATGGAGAGATACCAATTTCGATACCAAAACAACAAAGAAATACTTTTAGAATTCAATTAAATTCATTTTGCAAATATGTATGAAATTTGTATGACTAGAGACTAAGTGTATGAAATTGTATGACTAGCATTTTTGGTCTATGGAGGTCAACCCGGGGAGATACACCGTAGGTTGATTAGGTTGATGCTTATCATATCAATCTTAGCAGCAAACAATCTGAAATAAAATAATATTATTTTAAAACGTTGGGATATAAAGTCAGGTGGCACAAATCATGCACTTGCTGAACAATAAACACTTTTTAAAACCAGATTTTTCAAATTCTGCAATGCGCGGAGAATCTATTTTTCAATATTAGAAAACATTAAAAGTTACTTTTTGTTTGCTAGGTTTTCATTTTGAGCCACCTAAATAGAGTTATTACAATGACAAAATCATATCAAAAACGGAGTTTTTAACGAGTTTCAATGTGTTTCGTCTGTTTTTAGTTAATATGGCCAAAAAAAGACAGGTAACAAAACTTAAAATCAATTCGAAAATTTCAAAAAAATCATCAAAATCTGAACATGTATGATGCAGTTCATGACAGATATGCAATCTCACAACGAATAAGTTAGCAATGGGCATATATGTAATTTTCTTTCATTTCTGTACGGGAGGTTATGGGGACGGCCATATTTTGCCATAGCTTTAAAGAAAAAAGATTTTCTTCTTTTTTATATTGTCACTATGTTTTTCTAAACGGTCAAATCAGCCTATTACACCATCAGATTGTCCCAAAAGGTCATGTACAGCTGTGAACATTTTTTTAGACTCATTTTTTTTCTATGAGGAATAGTTAAATGCGGAACTTTGATCTAGAAGGCGGAAAAAACGAAACTCAGAAGATTTGAATAAGTTTGTTGACAGAATGTTTTTCCTGGCTAAAAAGTTTTGAATTTACCTTAAAAAGTACGCAACGGGGGCACACTGCAAATGCGAAAGATCTTTGACTATGATAAGTTTCAATTAACAGATATTTCATCAAAGCACTCCAGAGTCTTCGCTATTTTCAAATGCTTAACTTCGATCTTATTTGCGGAAGAAGCTAATAATTGTGATACTTTTATCAGCCGCTATGTCATTATTTCTGAAACCAAAAGGTTTTTTTTCTCAAAATCAGGAGAAGTTAACATAGTGAGAATACAACCTAAAATTTCATAAGCATTCAAAATTGATGCGCGTTGAACTTCTTTCTATAAACTTTAGAGAGTTTGTTTTTTATTCAGTCAATTTCCTAGGCTGAAAAATCTCCCCCCTCCAAAAAAAGTTATACAGAATTTTTGTAATCGAAACAGTTCTTATCTTATCCTACATTTTCCTACAAGCTCATACTTACAGTTGGTGGCGTCCCTCATGCTTGAGGGACCGAATGCTTGAAATTTATTTTAGCTTACTTTCATTCAATCAGAATTGAGTATTCAAAATCTCAAAGTAAATCGCAAAAATCTCAAAGTAAGAAAAAAAATCCATGCCATTAGTGTTAATAATGACCGATTAGATAATAAACAGATGAATTTTCAAGACTGAAAAACTACGAACTTAAACTCTTGATGTTTATCTGAAAAGTATTGCGGTTGTAACCCGCAATTTTTAATATTTTTGATGATTTTCCACTGATTTAAAACATTTTCTGTTAATATTGACTTCGATTTTGTGAGAAAGGCATTTAGCCAATAGGAACGCTTAGCGATTTTGATTGGTTGAAACTTTTCAAGCGTTCGGTCCCTCAAGCATGAGAACCCTCCCCCATACAGACACTTGTATGAGCCATCTAAAAAATGCATTTATGACGAACAGTTTTGGGGGCGTTCAACAATGCCGAAGTACAACAGTGCCGAAAAAGGCGGGAAATTTTTAAAATAATTTAAACGCAATTTCTAAGATTTTCTAAAGAGCGGGAAATTACTGTGCTAATTAACAAACAAAATCACTCCGATTTTGGCGCCAAAATATCTGCAACTTCAAATTAAACAATTATTTTGGCGCCAAAATGTCTAAATTGCAAATTTTATTGCTCAAAATCTTAAAGTGGCTCTTAAGATTGTAAACGTTCGCCGTTTAGTTTTTGATTGCCGCACTTAATATGTTAAAATTTGCTCAAATTTTTGGCACTGTTGAACAAAGTTTTCATTTTTGCGCTGTTGAACTAATTTTTTTCCAGCATTGTTGTAATGGGGGGGGAGTAAACGGGGGAACACCGTTCAAACCACAATATATAAAAAATATATAAATTTTAACGTGAAATGTAACATTTTATGAAACGTATTACGTAGCAACTGCACTAAACAGGAAATGAGATAAATTTGATTTTAATTGTAAGTTTCACAAATAACCTCTCAAAAAAACTTGTTATAATTGATTATAATCGATTATAATGGATTATATTGGCATAAAAATATTAGGATTATAATCCATTTTTAACGGATTATAATCATCTGTAATGGATTTTATTGACCTAAAAAATATTAGGATTATAATAGATTATTTTGTAATTTTATAGATACCGACCATGTTATGACAATATAATCGATTATGATCCATGGGCGCTCGGTGCGGGATGAGGGCAATTTTATGAAATTCTTTTTGGCACAGTTTTTTTCACAAAATGGTGTGTAGTTCGAGAAAATAGCTTGTTAAACAGGTGCACCAAAATGTATTATACGTTATGAAATGTGATATATTACTGATAGAAGTTAATCAAAGGTAGACGTGGGTAGAAGTTAATCATAGGAAGTTAACCAAAAAAATTTGTGCCTAAATGATATAAAGAACTCTCTGAAAATATCCAAAACATCCATTTTTTTTAATTTTGATTTTTAAATCTCAAGTGGCTTCGAGAAATGAAAATTTCTTGAGTTTATTAATGAAAATGTGGCTCCAAAGATTCAGGTATGCCTAAAACTTGTTTATTTAGCGATCCGGCGTTTTTCTAACATGTCTCATTGTGACTGTGTCTGTGTGCTATTTTGGCTCAAGGGAAAAAAAACCAAGAAGATGCTTCAAGGCCAACTTATAATCTCGGCGGACACAAAGAATGCGAAAAAAAAGACGAACATTGCCTACGTCAAAGTGCACAAGGTACAACTTTTCCCATTTTTTTTAAAATTTTTTTCAACCGACCAACCCAGAAATTGTTCTTAAGTTCACGCAGACGCCAATACTTACTAGTTTTTTCAAGCGCCTGTTTTTTGGGATTTCCGGAAAGCCAATTTGGTTCATCGAAAGTAGAAATAAAAATAATACTTTTTAGCAGGCTTTGATTAGCTCCAGTTGGCAAGCCCTACATAGTTCAACAAAAATTATGCAAAAGAAGTTTATTTTTTTTAAATCTTGAGCTATGTGAACGGATATACAATAACCTCTCTTATGTAATAAAGAAGGCAACTTTTAAAATAAACATTCCCTGAGCTCCACGGGCGAATCTTTTCTGCGCCACATGCAATTTTTTGAAAAAAAAAACAGGCCAAACACAGACCCGGAGTGAGGTTCCAAAGATAATAATCGATTATAAGAAATTTTGATTATCATCCATTTAAACTTCATTATAATGGATTATAATGGATTATAATCTCTACTAATTTTGGCCATTTTTTCAGCTAAATTTGCAGTTTTTTCTGCATCACTGATAGCCTACTCTAATCTTACTCACATTTAGAGAAATTTCGCAGAAAAATTTTTGTGCATCCCCTGACACCCCACCCTACCTAAAACACCCCACCTAAAACACCCCACCTAAAACACCCCACCTAAAACACCCCACCTAAAACACCCCTCGCTCTCTCTCAAATTTAGTATATATGGCGCCAAAGGCGCTTTTAGAAAAATTTTAGTGTCATTTGGCCAAAAGTGGATATCGCAAATTAGTACCAAGCGGTATTTTGGGTCGGCAGGGGGTCGAATCTCTGAGGAAACCCCCTCGAAAATCCGCTACTGTATATACATCACTTTTCATTAAAAAAAATCACACGAATGCATGAAATCTATTAATTCCTAAGGTATACATTAGTTTTAGAAAATGTTTGATCAAAGATAGTTTAGAAATGTATTTTGTAAAAAAAGATTGTGCAAATGTTTCTTACCGCTAAAATTTTTTAATAAGACTGAATACAGAAGAAAAAAGCAAGTTCAGCTGTTTACTCGAAATTCACATAAAATAAACAATTGATAAAATTTCTACGAGGTTAAATGAATGCAAATTTTGCAAGGTTCTTGCACGATTTGCGTTCTGAAATAAAACCAACACAAGAATTTAAGACTGTTGATTCATTCAGATCAACCTTAAATCAACGTTTAACATCTACATAAATTTTAACCCTACATAAAAACTGTTTTCTTTGAAGATGGTTACTGATGAATTATTTTGCAAATATATTGCAGAAAAACCAATTTCACTAAGAGCTTTAAAAAACCTGTCTAAGGAAAGTCCATCTGTATTAATTCCCAACACTTCACATTCTGTAAAAGTTCGTTTTTGCGACTCAAAAACTTTTTTTTTGCGTCTAGAGTTTTCACGTGGTACCACTATTACAGCCTAAATTTGTCACGCTGAGGCAGATTTGAACTTAGGGTCACGTGAAAGCTCCTTCTCACAATATTATTGACAATGCATGTGGTCGACACTTGATCTGACGTTCACAAAGTGAACGCCTTATCATTAAGCAGAGTGCTTCTTTACAATTCTTGCAAGATTATTGCAAGACTTGCATTCCTATAAATTAAGAAGGAAAAGATTTTAAAAAACTGCTCTCCAAACTAATGCAGAATAAAAATTAGACGGACATGAGTTCATGACATCACTTCACAGTATTTCAAGCACCGTAAGAGTTTTTAAAAAATTATTGCAGCATCTAAACTATTACTATTTTAGTCTTAAAGTGAAACTAACACACCTATGCACCCAAAGCTTTTGCCACAAATCCGAAGACAAAATTAGTCAATTTTTTAAATTAAAATTAAAAAAATGTTTGTAATTGGAAAATTCCGTGGTACTTGCACAGCAATTGGCAATTTTTCTTGGGTTATGCTCTCTGGTTTGGAAAAGTGATTTACTATTTGGATAATATTTGTTACGAATTATTTGAGAAACTAAACTTATTTCCTTTGAGTTAGATCATCAAGGAGATCGTGCTCCTTCATTGAAGTAGCACGATCTGATGTTGAGATGGATGAAAAGGCTAATTGTATTTAAAACTAAAAAAAATCTTTGAAGCTTCTATCTCAAACAATTCAACCCCTAAATTAGCTACTGCTGAGCTCATAGTTACGCTTGCGATTAGCAAGCGCTATCAAACTGGAATATAGACTTTTTTCTATTTAACAACTTAGAATCACTCGCCGACTAAGCAGCTGACTTCTTTAACTTCTCTTCTTATCTTCTTTTAACATTTTTTAAGTTTTTTCCCCTTGGCCTGCAGTTGCATTCGTACCCTAAGATCTGGGCTGCGAGTCGTGACCGGACCTTGTTTTGTCAGTATCAAAGAAATTGAAAAAAAATTCCGAGAAAAAAGAATTGTTGGTTTTTCGTTTGTTCATTCAGGTTTTGTCGGCTAAATTGCCACAACGGATTTTGCTTATGCTGTAGACAATTTTCATTGTAGTTGCGAATGCAGGTGTTGCTCATTCTAATTTCAGGGGAAACGTCAAAATTTTTTTTTTAAATTTCCTATTTTTTTTCCGGTTCAGTTAGTGTCTGCTCAAAGATGGTCGGCTTAGCTGCCTCTTCACTAACTTTTTTGCTGCAAGCAACTTTCATTGTAGCTGCAAGTGCAAGTTCTGTTCATTCTAGTTTCAAGGTGGACTTGAAAGATTTTGAAAAAATCTAAAATTCACTTTTTTAGGTTCAAGTGGTTTCAGCTCAAAGATCGTTGGCTTATTTGCCACATCACTAAATTTTTCTTGCGCTTTAAACAACTTTCATTGTAGCTGCAAGTGCAATAGTTGTCCCTTGTTGTTTAAAGTGGGACTTTAAATTTTTTTTTAAATATATTTTTATATGGGTATTTCTTATATGGGTCTTGGTGCTTTGTTTTTCAGGAAAAAGTCTTCAACTGCTCTTATAACTACAGATGCTCATTGATACATATTTTTGCATTTATGAATGCACTTAGGTATATATGCACTTTTTGAGTTCAATTGACATTTTTCTGCTGTAAGATACTTAAATAGCACTTTCCAAATACGAACGTGGTGATGACGCGAAATAACTTGAACAATTTCTAGTTTCGAAAGTGGAAATTATTTTTTATATTTCGAGCGGAATGAAAACTTTACTTATTGATCCAGTTTTCCCAAATTGGGTTAATATTATCAATAAAGCTTCAAGAAAAGAAATTCAAAGAGCTTAAAGAGTATCTATTTTTTTCTTTAAAATTCAAAACTGGAGATTTTGTCAACAATGTCAGTGTTTTTTAAGTTTACTTGCGTTCATAACTCTTTTCCAAGCTTCGATTGGCTATGCTTTGAAATTCAAGCGTCTGGCATGCTTGCCTGAAATGAACTTCAATCGAGACATATGAAAAATTATGACCTAATTTTTTTTCAATAGTTTTAATTTTTTCGGCTTTTTATGTTTTTTATGTTAGTGTTGTATCACAAAGGGTGCGAAGCTCTGCTTCGCCCCTGTTTTAAAAGATTTTTTCTCTGGTAATTTTTTTTGTAATTTTTTGGTACTGATTTTTGAACTGCTTTAATGGCACTTATTTTTGACAGACCGAACATTCCTGAGTTTATCTGAAATATTTTTGGCTTTGAAAATCCTGATGTTTGGTTTATTTTAGGCCCTATTTATTCAAAATTATTAATGTAGAGCTGAACATTTTGGTAAATTTTAGTCAATTCTGTGTTCAAGTAGATCCCGAGACATCAATTTGCAGCACCAAAAACTGATCGTTCAAAATACTGGAAAACTTTCAAAAAACCGCCTTTTTCTAGAGGGGAAAAATTACATTCAGGCGTGATATGATCTATGTCAGAATTTTTATGAACGGAAAAATTAAGATAATAAAGTAATTCATTATTTCAGTGCGGCTCAACTACAATGACGAGTACTTTTCTACGATTTGCCGAAATTAATCGAATGGAATTGCCATTTTGTAAGAGTGGCTGGCCGTATATAAGGTAAGGGTGAAACTTTTTAACATAAAACCTTATTTATAGGAAGGTTTAAACTGAGCTATTAAAAATGATTTATAGTTACTAAGGTATTTTGAGATGAAATAAAAAAGTATCATAACAAATAAATCTTTTTTGAAAAAACTTATCATAAGAAGATGCTACAAAAATAAATAAATCAGTGAAACTATTTTTAATTTATATGATAACAAATCTCTCGTGTTTTTCTGGAGATGAAATGCTTGTTATTTTAATCTTAATCGGCTGAACTATAAAATTATGATTTTTGTCAGTGACAAATACCCATTGTCTGCTAGCAATGGTTCAAAGTTTTTCAAATTTAGTCTATCAGTTGTAGGAAAGAAAGAACAAAAAGGGGGTAAAATGGAAGCCAGTGACTTCTATGTTACTTTGGAGCTCATTTTCCTTAGATCTGTTATTTTCCGCCCAATTTTTTTACTTTCATTTTTAACCCCCCCTGATATTAAAATTTTCTGAAATTTTCTGTAGCATTGAAAATGAGATACTCGTTTTGTTAACTTCAATTTAGTGATGCAATTTTTTTTCTTAAACGGGGAATCATTTTTTGACATTGCGTGCGCATTTATTGAGAAAACGCTAACGCGGAAACGCAATTTATAATGTCTTTTCCTCAGTTTTAATAAAGATATATTTTTGAAAACTGCCAAGAAAAAAAAGCAAAAAAACTTCCTCCTTTTTTGCTCTCTTCTCTGCTAGCAGAAACACAATGAAACTTTTTTCAAGATTCCCACATTTGAATTTCAATTTTGTCAATATAGATTAATCTTCGCCGAAATTACTAAAACCCTGCGCTGTACACAAGTCTGCTCGTTTCAGGGCAAAGGCCTGAAAGTTGCGACTGCTCTTTAACTAATCCCAAGTAGTTTTTGATAAATGAAATAGCTTGCTTCATTTCAATTTCGAAAGATTCTGTTGTGCGGTATAGTTCGTCAGGCATAAGTAATTCGTATTACACTTTCAGCATCAAAGTCCAACTACTTTAATGGTATGCGCGACCGGTTCATCCAATGAAGTACCAGGAATTGCTCACCCAAGTGAGCAAATGTTCTTTAGAAAATTGGCTCAAATATAAAAATCATTCCAAGCACATACATTTCTCACTTTCTTCGGAAGTTGGAACAAAAAAAAACTAGTACGAAAACATTTGTTTATCCGGCTTTACAGCGAAATATCAGGGCATCAAAACACAAACAAAACCCTGAAACAAAAGTTTCATATTGATAAAAACAACTGGGTTGAGCTGATCATCAACATTATCAATGGGTATCGACTTATTTCTACATTTTCTTATTGCATTTTATGGAGTTACTTTTTGTCGTGTTCTCGCTAGTTTTTGCAAGCAACGAATGCAAGCAATCAAAATTGATTCTTACCAAGCAAGAAATAAGGAATCAGATTTTATTTAGGTCAAACTTGATAAATCAAGTAAGTTTGCCTATATATTCCCACTAGGATTCAATTAGGGGTTTTAACTTCGGTGAAATGCTTCGTTATCACAAGGAAGTTTCAGCAAAAAAAAACAGTTGGTTCAATTTAAAGTTTGGATGAAAATCTTGATTGCATTTAGTTTTAGTTGGTATTCGAAATTAGTCCTCATTTGTGAATAACTCTATAGCTAATATTGTTCTCATTTTTTCCTAAAAATGAGTTAATAAGCGCAATTCTCAAAATATTGATTGATTCAGCTAATTTTCTGAAAACTTCTGGTGTGGTGCTTGATTTTTGCCATAGAGGGGAGACAAGAATTTAAGGAATGAGTTTAAATTGGTCAAAAGAGCCCATTTTTTTTAAATTTGGGTTAAAATTAGGCATCATTGTTTTCACTTTTGATATGTTAATTACTGCAACAATCGCACAAAAACTGATAACCTCCTTTCATGCCGTTCCAAGTTGGAGTAAAGTTGCCACGATATTTAACCGGGCATTGATATCCTAAATGTCCTTGCTAGCTTTTTTTATCCGTCATCTTTTTCAGCTATCCGACAACGAGACAAGAGATATACACGCCTGAGTTCAGATCAAATGACCGGTCAAAGTATAATGTAAGTTTATTTTTTTTATTACTGAAACCTGCCGAGAAAGTTTGTTTATTATCAAATTGAAAACTCTTCGATCAAAAAAAAACCAATTTGTTTCTTTAGTTAGCTTAAATCTTTGTAGTAGTTAGAACATAATTGAAAGATGCCCGAGGGAAAAAGAGCCCGGCCTGAGGGCACGAAGTACCCGAGTGCAGATCTTTTGCCCGAGGCCATCTTCAACTATGTTCTAACTGTTGAAGAGTATGTTTCTGCTCTTTCTGAGGGAGAGATGCCAGAAAATTGTGAAAGAGCCCGGAAATTTGTGAAAGAGCCCGGAAAAGTGCGCGAAACTATGCAAATGATTTCTTTTTTCATTCATGTGTTGTCGGGAAAGCACATGTGTGAAAGAGCAAAAACATACTCTTCTTCTGAAATAAACGTGCTTGTTGCAGATTCTGGCTGTGCATACCATGTACAATTACACTCTATGGAATCGAGTAATGAAACATCCGTTCACATTGGTTGGCGCCGCAAGAGAACCCTTCAATCAGTTTGAGTCCTTCTTCACTTTCTATAAATTCCACGACTTCATTTCGAGGAAATACAAGATGCCACAATCAGAAACGCTCGACTTCTTTTTGAATGAGTTCAATGGAAGGCTGAAAGACGAAAAATGGGAATTCCACGTAAGTTCAAGAAAAGTTCAATCGGAAATTTTGAAGACTCGCCGGTTTCATCGAATTCGACAAACATTTTTCAGGGTTTCACTTTTCAACTTACTCACTTATAATTTTTTGGAGAAATCACTTCAATTTTTTGGGGTTCAAAAAGGGTTCAAAATGCGGGTTCCCTAAAAAATTTGTCTATGGCAGAAAAAGTTTTACAAATTTGGTTCACACCTCGGTTTTCTCGCTGTGGTGGATTTTTTTTGGTTCATCCCAATTTCGAAGAAAGTGGTGCACTCTTTTTGCAAGCACTTTTTGCAAGCACGATCTCAAAGTTTATTACTATCATCTGCTTGAATGCCTTGAGATCAAAATTAGACAAGACTGCTCGTATCAGGGCGAAGCCTTGAATGTTCCGACTGCCTTTTAAGGTTTATGGGACTGTAAGAACAATAATAAAATGAGTTATGTATGAAGTAATATACTCATAGAGTATTTTCAGATAAAGTACACCGTCTACTCGTCACGCTATCTTATTTTCGGCCGAATAGATTTGTGCAACTTCTTAGTCTAATACCGATCTTAATCTTACTCTTATATATCCTAGTCTCAATAGATTTAGTGTACACCGGTTTATGCGAGTTAGTTCCAGAATGAGAACAACTGTATTCTAAGTGTAATTCAAATTGTCCTGGGGTTGAAACTACAAGTAGTTTCAACACACTTACAAATAAGTGGGTTGTTAGTTTGATGGAGTATGATTGGTTAGTATTCAATATTTTATAGAGATAAAATATCATAATAATAACCAATGATAAATACTAGTTTAGATCTGGTTCCACCCATCCGGGGTTTAGAGAGTTTTAGTTCTTCAGTGTTCTATTGTAGTGGAGGATGGATGATGGTGTTTTCTTTAGAGATTGCGAGCATATTCTTTTATCTGGTTTTGAAGAAGAGTTGTCATCACGATCGCTTCGGGAGATCGTATGATGATTTCTGAGCAGTTGTGATGAGTGTTGTTCTGGTTGATCGGAACATTGCTATTCTCAATCTCGTTCGGGAATGGCATGTAGTTCGACTTTGGAAGCAGTGCCTGGTGACTGGGATCTGTACGTATACTTGAACATCGAGATAGCCATTGTTCTGTTGCAATGGGTTTCCTTTGCTGCGATGCCAAGTCGTACTTTAATTCAGTTGAGTGTAATGACTGTAGGCAGCATGTCAGATATGTTTTGCCATTCCGTAGTTGGAGTGTGATTGGGTTGTCAGGTTCTTTGCTGCTCGTCTTTGGGCTGTTTTTTATCTATATACTGCATTGTATTATTAACATATACAAATCTTCGTTAATTTTGTTTTTAGTCATCATCTTGTATTAGTTTTTATTGCAAACGCGTTATTATTTAATTCAGTTATTTTTAAGAGCTACTCAGACTTGAGTAACTCCCGTCAAAAATAGAGGGTGTTGTCACAAAGTTCGAGTGTAGCACGGTGGGTGAGGCCGGCTATAGAGCATGCTCAGGACGTCCTCTTCTGGTGGGTTAGGCCAGGAGTGAGGGTATAAATTCATGCTCTCTTTTTTGGAGGGTCCCGTTTGTGTTCAACCTTTCATGCCTTTTTTATTACTGGTTTCTTCCTTTTTTGTCTTGATTGTGTCTTTTTCTCAAAAATCAAACTAATTGATTTGAGTTTGTCTTTCGACTTTTTGGTGTTTTGTTCTTTTGTGTTCAGACTTGAAAATAGTCTTCAAAAGAATAGTTTATCCAGTTCTAAGCTAATCTAAGCTCATCTAAGTTAATGAGGTTATAAAGTTTTTGATTATATCTAGTGTTATGAATGAGTTCTAGGATCGGGATTTCAACGGGCTGTAGGAATTCGTGTGAGACTATTAGTGGGCGGGATTCGTCTACGGTGAAGATTTTAGTTAAGGGACAGAATATATACATCTGGGTGATGGGATCATAATTGCGGAGGATGCCTTGTAGGTTAGTGTCTTTAATACAATAATTGAAGTTAGGAAAGAATGGTGAGGTATATTTGGAGTTAATGTATTGATATCTGTGGTAAATTTGTCGTGCTGGTGTATTTTGAGTGTAATGATGTTGAATGAACTTATAGTAGGTGTAAGTGTGTGTTTGTTTAGTTCATAACATGACGTCGTGTGAACAGTGCAAATCACGTTCTTTGGGTATGAGGATATGAAAGGTTAGTGAAAAGTGATTAAATGTTTTAAAATATGAATCATAAGCTTGATTATCACGAAGTGCTGTTGAAATGACGTGGTCGTATTTGTTATCTAAGGTGTTGAGGGTGAAAACATGGCGTTGTAATGAAAAAATTTTCTGTTAGTTGCTGGTTAGCATATTTTTTGTCATTCAGGAAGATGCCTTCGTTAGGTCTTATGATGTTATGATTGTAGTGCTCGATAGAATATTCATTAGTTTTTGGTGCGGTGAATTTGATGAGTGATTGCTTGTATGCCATATGTGTGAATTGTTTTGGAGTTAGTGCTGTTGTTAAAAGGTAGAGTTGAGTGCTGCCTTGTTCGTTGTCATGAGGGGTGTTATATAATGGTAGTGATAGTGGGTTAGTAAAAAAATAGTATGATGTCCATGAGAGTGTAGGGTATAATACGTTTTCATTTACATAATTTGGGGCTTCGTCATTGGGATCTGAATGAAAGTATGTGTACTGGTGGAAAAAGGGTGAACATAGTTGGAGAAATTCTTTTGTGTTAGTGTGAAGTGGATGATTAACTAATGTTGTGGCTGTTCCTGGGTTTGAGGGAAATGGAGTTGTGGGAAATATTCGTTTAAAGGTTCGATTGGCTCGGTTAGTACTGGAGGATTAAATGGATTTTCTCTAATTTGTTCAGATGTAGGGGTTGAACCTAAAAATCATATAGAGGTTTGTAAAAATCATCCCACCACACATTAAGAAATCGATTATAACGGATTATTATGATGATTTTTTGACAATTATCGTTGATTATAATTATCAAAATTAGGTCTTTAGAGGATTTATAATTGATTATAATCGTGATATTTTCCAAGAGATTATAATCTCTTATAACCTATTATAATTGATTATAGTTCTTACAAAAAACCCTTAAATCAATGATTAACGATTTTAATCGATTATTATCTCTTATTGTGCCAAAATTTTGTCAATTCAAAACTATATTCGAATTATATTTTAAGGGTTATTATTTTTGTGTCAATAAGAATATCTCTAAAAGAGAGATCTCTTGAACACTTTGGTTCAATTGAACACAAAGTCTTACCATGAAACAAAAGTTTCATAGAGATACTTTCATATGAGTGGAAAGGTTTCACGCGGTAGATGAAAAATAAATCTTCCAAAAAAATATTTTAGTGTTAAAAAAAGTTGAAAGTTGAAATATGCATCACAAAAACAACTCCAATGCGGAAGAAATGAAAAAAAGTTTTTAAAATTGAAGGAATTGGAAAATTTTAATAAAATTTTCTCATTTTTCATAGAAACCAACGTCTACAAAAAGCGGGAAATATAAGCAATATAGATGCAACTTCGAAGACAAAATGGACAAACAAAGGGGATTATAATCAATTATAATCGATAATAATGGATTTTTGTGCAAAACTAATGAACTAAAAAACTGAATTAAAAAAATGGATTATAATTGTATCGAAAAATACACGAATAAATTATTGATTATAATCGATTATAATGGATTATAATTATTTATAATTTGATTTTTAAAAAGAGGGATTATAATCAATTTTTAATGGTACTAAAATCGTAATATAATCGATTATTAACGCTTGCTACTGGATGCGGGAAGGAAAAAATTATTTTGTTTCAAGTTTCAAGTTTCAATTAACCCCATATCTATGGGGTATCGCATTAATTATGTCCTTTCCGCACGCCTTAATTACTTTTTTTGAAAATGCCAAAATCATCAAAGTTACTTGAGAATCATTTGCATACTTTCCTGTGGATATACTACCATTTTACCTACTGTAGCTTCATGGACAATCAGCAGTTATGTTTTTTTTTACCGGTCTATATATTTCAAAAATAATCAATTACAAGCGACTGAGATAAGATTAAAATCGTATGTTGCCAAATCAATAAAGTAGTTAAATATAATTTGCCAAATTTATTTTAGTAGCTATGCGATGAGCTGTTTGTGTTGGCCAGGTTGACTTTAGATTGATTGTCATCGCTGATTTTTTGTTATTCCAAAATTAAATTTTGAGCAATAAATCAGCGATGATTCATCAATAATCCAATGCTGAAAAGTAAAATTAAAATTGCTATCAGCGCTGAATCAGCGATGTTCAACGTTGTTTTGGATTAGCTATGGCGTTGATTGTTTGAAATTTAAATGCATTTGTTGAAAACTATGTATATGAAGTCAGAAATTGTTAAAACTCGATACCCGGCTTCATTTTGCTTATTTTACGTTACCTACAGTTTTCGTTTCAGGGTATGTCGACTCAAAGGATTCGTAACACAATGCTGCTCGATTACGGCATGCCCTTGCTGGATCATTCAAGGAACGAGTCAGGGGATGTTTTAAAGTACATAAACGAGCTGACTGCTAACGTCACTGTTTTTATAATCCAAGATTACTTTGATGAAAGCCTGGTGGTTTTGAAAAATATACTCTGCTGGAACTGGTCCGATATTGTATATGATGCCTTTATCCATCAGAGAACTCCAAGTCCATCGGGGAGTTTGAAAAGTACAAACATGAGCCTAATTGAAGAACGACGGCGACTTCACAAAATTTTCTCACCCTATGACTACATATTTTATGGGAAGTCTTTTTCCAAGTTACAATCACAAATTGAGTCCATAACAGACTTCGCTGAGCAGCTCCAAGAGTTTCGAGATATCAAATCGATAATTGCAGGTTGGTGCGAAAGCAGTGAGAGATCTCCAAGCGATACGTTAAAGCTTCCTGTGAAATACCATGCTTCTCAGATTACGACGATTGATGATTTTGGTTGCAGCAGGTTAAAAATAAAAACGTGGCAAGCCTACTCCGATCAATTGCTAAAATCAACTACTGCCAAGGTAGATTGGATATGAAATAGGAATCGAACAAACTTTTATCTTTTTTATTGATGTAAAGTTCTTTAAAAGCTGTTTTTTTTGTTAGATCTGGTTTTATTTGTAAATAAGACTCTTCCTACCAGGCCCTGAATGTCCGAAGCCCTGAAAGTTCAGACTGATTCTTAAGACCCGCAGTGTACTTTTAACTTTGTTTTAAAAAATGATTAAATTTAAAAAAATTGAGCAACGTTTTTTCTGAGTATTTTTTGAAAATCATCCCCCACACGCTATGTTTAGTACACAGTGTTATAATTCTGATAAAGCAAAGTTTTAAATTGACCAAATAGCGTGCCTCAATTTACTTTAGACCAATTTCTAAAGCGGATTAAACCTGCGGTCACGCGTTAATAGCAAGAAATCTATCGCGAGTTAATTGTCCAAAAACACAAGATAGCATTCAAAAACCTTCAAAAAACACTTTTACTGGAGTTAAACTAAAAATTCATGGCTTATTTTTCATGGCTTATTTTATGATACGCCTGCTCGCTAGCTGTACTTGATCGAAAATAGACTAAAACTCAAAAAAGCAAATCAGTTTATCTCAATACAGGGACAATTTTTGAAATCATTTCTAAATCGTACAAAAAAGGGCCCAAAAAGGCTTTAGTATGATATATCACTCTATCCATTACAAGGATTATTTGCCGTAGAAGTTTTTGGATGAACAACAAAATGAGCCTGCTCACTCACCTCACTCGCTGGAAATTACTTTTGGTTAGACAAAAACCAAAAACTTCAAATTAATTTTTCTCAAAGTTTGAATCACGACTGAAAAACATCACTCAGCCCTTTCCAATGATTTTGTGGTACCTGATTTTGCATGAATAAAAATAAAAAGCACAACCGAGTGCAAAATTTCTTCTATTTTTAATGGTCAGAACCAGGGGCGGATCTAGGATTTTCTCGAGGGGGGGGGGGGGCGGATTTTCAAAAAATTTTGACGACCTTTTTTTTTTTTTTAGGTCGACCAAATTGATTTTTATTTTTCGCGCTCTCCTAAAGCACTGTTTTGCCCTTATTTTGGCAAAATTTTCTGCGCCGCAGGCAAATTTTTGAAAAAACAGTCAAAAAAAGCAGTTTTTGGGCACTTTTTGAAAAATTTTGACAAAAAAAATGCGTTTTTTTGGCGCGCGCTCCCCCTCAAAAATAGCATTTATTGGCGCCGAAGGCGCCTTTAGAAAAATTTTAGGGTCGGTCAGCCAAAAATGGATTTCTGAAAAAGTATGGGTCGGCAAGGGGTCAAATCCCTGAGGGGAGGGCGTCCGCCCCCCCCCCCCCCCCCCGCCCCCCCCTTAATCCGCCCCTGGTCAGAACATAAATTCTTTCTGCTGTCGAATAAACTTTGCTCAAAACAACGAAAAATTGCTCCTATCATGAAAAAACTGCAGATCCCGTTTCTTGCAATATCTAATTGAAGCAGATGGGCTGACAGCATGGAAAAATTTGTGCTTCTGGGCCGGTTAGAGGATTACAAAATCAGTGAACATAGTAAATGCAATTTTGAAAAAAACTAAACACATTTTTGTGATTAATTTGAAGCCGAACGATTGTTCAACAACAAGAAAATAAATTGAGAGCTGTTAACGCTCTGCCTGCTAGCTTTTAAGTAACATGACTAAGAATCAATCATAAACGTCAAAATTGAAAAAAAAATCGATTATGGTCAATTAAAAATGGATTCTAATGTCCATTCGAAAAATCCACTTTTTTCATTTCTGTTAACTTTTGAAAGACGATAAAACTCACGCAATTCAATGCAAATAAATTTTTTCTACCATGTAAACTAGTTTACTACTATTTTTGTTCAATTTAATTTTTTCTGCTCAACTGATAATTTTGTTAGATTATTATGTTACTCAATTACTCAGTTTTTTTTCAACATCTGACTTATATTATTTAAAACTTTGGGGGTGTAAATTAGAGGTGGACAAATCCCCCTTCCGTTGCTTCCCCTTAGCGTTTGGCCCTTTGCCACCTTACATCCCCCACGCCTTAATGTTTGCCCGTTTGCCCCCTTTGTTTCTTACCCCCGCCATCCGCCCACCTGATCCAACCCCATACACTTGAACCAACCCATCCCCCCATCACCTGAACCAACCCAACACCCCTCCCCCACCTGACTTAACCCTACCCCCCCCCCCCCCCCCCCAACTGAAGCAACCCCCCGTTTGCTATCTTTCTTTCATACCCCGCCATCCCCCACCTGAGCCAACCCCTGCTCTTTTTCCTTTTCCCCCACCTGCAAAATTTCTAAGTCAAACTTAGTTCTTATTTTTCAGTTGTTTTGAAAATTGACATACGTACTAACTAGGTTATGAAAAATTTTTGGTCTTCATAATTAACCTTGTAAAAGCACTCGTTACACCATATAATTCACGTTCGTGTGAAGTGAAGAAGCAAAAGAGCCCCAACCCCCACCCCTGAACCAACCCAACACCCCTCCCCCACCTGTCTTAACCCTACCCTACCCCCCCCCCCCCCAACTGAACCAACCCCCGTTTGCTCCCTTTCTTTCTTACCCCCTCCATCCCCCATTTGATTCAACCCCGGCTCTTTTTCCTTTTCCCCCACTTGCAAAAATTCTAAGTAAAACTTTTGTTCACATTTTTCAGTTGTTTTGAAAATTGACATGCGGACTAACTAGGTTATGACAAACTTTTGGTCTTCATGATTAACCTTGTAAAAGCATTTGTTACACCATACAATTCACGTTCGTTTGAAGTGGGGAAGCAAAAGAGCCCCAACTCCCACGCCTGAACCAACCCAACACCCCTCCCCCACCTGTCTTAACCCTACCCCCCCCCCCCAATTGAACCAACCCCCGTTTGCTCCCTTTCTTTCTTTTTTTCTGAAATTTGAATTTTTTTTTATGAAAATCATCCCCCCACACGCCATATAAAGTACAAAACAATAGATTTCGCTCCTTTTAACAAATCAATTATGGCAAATAAGCTACTTTTAACCAATTTGGAACGATTTCTAAGACGGATTAAATCTCCGCTGACGCGTTAATAGCGCGAATTATATCGCGCGTTATTTGTCCCAAATTGGTCAAAATGGCAATCTTTAAACCCTCATAATCTTACAAAAAATGATCACAGGTAAAATATCTTTTCAAATTGAGGCTCAGGACACAATAGTTTTCGAATGATATAAAAAAAATCCGTCAAAAGTGGCTAGTTTAAAAGTCGAAATTTGTCTAAAAAAACCCACCCCGAGCACAAATATTCCGTTATTTTCGTATCGAGGTCGGAACAAAAACAAATATTGATTATGGTCAATTAAAAATGGATTTATTGTTACAATTTTTCGAATCTACAAAATAATCCATTTTTTTTCACTTCTGTTAACTTTCGAAAATCAGTCAATAAAAAAGTTTTCCTTTAGAAAACTGAAAAGTCAGGCACATAATAATTGATAGCAAATAATTTGTTGGAGAAAACCAATCGACAAATGTTTTTGAAGTTCCATGAATAAATTTAAATTAAGAAAAAGTGTGTTTTCATCGAACTGTTCAACGAATGAAACCTAGATATATTTCAAAAAGTTTCTGATACTAGAACTGATTCTTGAAAAAAATGGCAAGCAAGTCTGAGTCATTTCAGAGGATGAAACACTGAAAATTATCAAAACTTGACAAAAGCATTCAAAGGATTGAAAAATGTATTAAGTAATTTGTTTTTAATAGCAACAATTATTCGCAACAATTTAGTTGTCTACTGAAATATTCCAAAAAAATGAAATATCCAGCTGGTTGGCTGGAACGAAATAAAAATCTTATAAGAAATGTTCTTGGCCATTTCTGAAGCAAGAGTTGATGATTGGAAATAAGAGCTAAATATCGAATATTTCAAATAAATCACGCCTAACATTCAAAGTCTTAGAGATCGAACTGCATCGAACAAAATATATTGGGTGAAATTGCTGTCAAATTTGATTTATTTTTCTGCAAGTTTGTACAATTAATGAACAATAACAGTCCACTTAGCGCCTTTCGCTTGAAACTAATGTTTTTCTGGCAAATTATTGAAGCAATGAAACTTTGAATTTTTGCTCTAGTCTTTCCTTAGATGAAATGGCTCGAGAGACCGATCTTATGAAATTTCGAAGTTGTTTTCATAGCGTAATCCAAATGCTGTACTTTAAACTTCTTCAAACAAGCTATTTTTGAACAGGATATCAAACCAGCAAAAATGAGCAAAGATTTCAGTGAGTAGTATATGTTGGGGCAGTTCAGCCGGGGGGGGGGGGGGGGGGGTGCTGATAGAGTAGCCATTAACATAGGCTATAGAGTATCCGGTCAGCAGCCTATGTACTAAAATAGGCTATAGATTTTCCCACGTATTAGGATAGGGAATAGGTTTCCCAATGTATTAAGATACGAAGTTTCAGATGGTAAGATGGTAAGTTTCAGAAAATTTTTTAGCCTATCTTACAGTGAAATTAGTCTGAAGACCCACATGTATTAAGATAGGTAATAGAGCATCCGGTCTTCAAGCTATGTATTAAGATTGGGTATAGAGTCTACAATGTATTAAGATAGGGAATACCGATGGTAAGGTTTCAGTTTGATGGTAAGAGAAAGAAAAACGAAAGTTTTTAGGTTTTTGTTTATTTTTTTCGCATAATTTTTGGCGCGCGTTATCTAATTGGGAACAATTAATTGTTAATTAACGTGTAGAATTAAGGTTTTGTATATAGTTTTTTTTGGTGCATGCTATTTTTGAACAGCATGCACCAAAAAAGGTGTGATGGTAAGAGAAAGAAAAACGAAAGTTTTTAGGTTTTTGTTTATTTTTTTCGCATAAGTTTTGGCGCGCGTTATCTAATTGGGAACAATTAATTGTTAATTACGTGTAGAATTAAGGTTTTGTATATAGTTTTTTTGGTGCATGGTAAGTCAATGGTAAGAGTTTTTGTGCAAAAACTTGGAATTTTTATCAAATTAAATTTTTTTCGAAAAAATTCAAAACACGATAAAATTAGCTATTATTTGACCAAATTTATTAGAAAATCCTACTT